TACACAGAGCTTAATACTGCTCTCCAAAGCAACCAGAAGTTCATCAGAAAGACTCTACTTCAAATAACAAGGTCATGCTAGAAGGAGAGAACAAACCACTGCCCCACTTCGCTACGCAAAGGTCATACCAGTGAGCTGGACTTGGTGCAAATTCCCACTAATCCTAGGATTAGCAGGCCACATAACAGCTTTAAACCTGCTCCTTTAAGTGAGGAACTCAACTGTTAAGAATTGTAGAACCAGTCAATAACTTGTCTTCCTTCTAGAGAAAAAAACCTTACTATTCTCAACATTTTCTAAAAAGCTCATCATAACACAAAGCCTGAAGTGGTGTGCAAAGGAAGTTTCTGCCCTGTCCTGCTGCTGTTCAAGCCTTGAAAACAGTCCTTCCGCATCCAGGTGGATAAAACGATCAGTAGGCAGTCACTGGACCTGCTCAACTACCTACAAATAATGCATATTCATTTGACTAGTGACCACTGTGACCCACATGTACCACTTTTTTTTTTTTTTTAAGATTAGCTCAGAACTCACCCAGTAAGAGTAATTCTTCACTGAATACCCCAGCTATTAGATTATCAGCCACTTCTGGAAGATGCAAGCCTATTCCAAGTTTTACCCTGTTCCAACAAAATAAGCTCCTTAAGTCCAAAATCTTGTGAACACTCAACTAGGCCACAGTTGAGAAGAAACAGCATTTCACTTATTTTTGTAGGCTATTATTTCAGTGAATCCGAAATGATCTTGCCACCTACAACTGCAGGTCAATCTAGCAGTGCCTTACATACTCTTAAAGTTTTGAACTTTGAGTGTGCTTGACTCCTTAAGCAGCAATTCTGGCTGCACTAACCAAGAGCCTTTTAGAGTTGCCTCTCAAAATTCCCCAAGAACTGCACCTTTGCTGAGAAAAAACACACCTAATTTCACTAACAGTTAAAACCTGCACATCTCCATTCTCCCCACAGCTGCTTCTTCCTACTTGAACTCCTGTTCAAGCAGGAGTGTTTGTGAAGCCACAAAATGAACATTCACATTAGAAAACCACCCATTAAAATTAGGCTTACACTAGATCCATTCTTCTCTTCTACTTCGCACATAATTACTTGCACCATCAAAAAAGGGGTGGTGCAGAAGCAAGAATGAAGAGCTGGGAAAAGGTGCAGGATCATCTTTCAGCATGAGCACCACTTCAACTGTTTCAACTATGCCATTAATGCATACTCAGATCTATTACACTGTTAGTATCTCTCTCCTTTCTCCCCTAAATACCCTTGAACTCCTGTCAGTCCCTTTGTGAGGCTAAAGGTAAACAACAGTGTTTAAATAACAGATCTTAGCAAAGACACAGACCACATACACATGCACAGACAGGCTATCATGGCAAGTTAGAACCACAAGTCTAACTGCTGGAGAACATCCAGCCAATTGAAATATCCTTATTAAAAGGAAAGAATTGTAGTTCAGTAGAAACTGCTTCTGTCCCTGCCAGGCTACCATAAATGCAAGCTGCATGCCTGTTTTGACCCAGTCTCCCTCTCCTACAGCTCGCTCCCTTCCTTCCCCTCACCTTCCAGATTAAGACACAGCTTGCATCGGACTGGCCTTTGGGCAAATCCTCTCCCCTGAGGTTTCCATCTTAAAGTAGTATACACATTTGTTTTTTACTCATCTCCTGCAGCAGAAGTAACTCAGAATGCATCAGACATTGTTTTGAGACTGCACTGCAACACCGCTGGAGCTACTGCTTCTTTGAAGATAAATAATACTGCTTCCCTGAGAACAGCTAATAAAACAACCTTGAAACAAACAAACAAGAAAATATTATGAGCTCATTAAAACTTGTCTTCATTTCTATAGCTTCACAGAAGCACAGACAGCCCTTAATTCAAGTACTGCTGCAATAAACTACCAGTTACACAGAGAACTTTAAAGTAGTTCACTTCTTGGTTTTCAAGCGAAGTCTGATATTGATGTGAGCTACCTAAATGGGTGCCTTAAGAATTAAAGCTCTAGCTGCAGTTAAGCTTTTGATTTCCAGGTATGCTATATAAACTACTCTATAACATAAGCATTCAGACTGCTCCCTTACAGTGAGGTAGGCAACTACTCCCTATATCGTAATTATAGAATACATGCCTAAATGCAAGTACTAATAAAATAGAAATGTGGGGTTTTTTTCCTCATCTTCAGTCCAAATTAATGTTCTTCATTTAACACATCCGCAAGGAAATATTCACCATGTCAGGTCCCAAATAAATCTGTTCTATATCAAAAGAATCATTGTACACTGAAAGCCTCTCTGGAAACTTCCATTACAAAGGGAGTATTTACCTTGTGTTATACTATGCCTACACAAGAAGAATCAGTAATCCAGTCACTTAAAATGTTTGGTCAACAAGCCAACTGCCTCCTCATAACACCATTTCCAGTAAGCTTTTTTTTTTTTTTAAAAAAAAAAAAAAGCCTCACCACCTCTAAGACTCAGGAATCCTCCTCTTTATAGTAGTCTGCACAGAACAAAATTGGTTAGTGCAATGCTCAGCTGACAGGCACCACCTGACACCCAAGAAAAGGGGGGAGGGGGCAGCTGTTCTTTTAGGAAGCAGAGCTTACAGCCTAAAAGCTAGGCTCAAATGAGACTCCAAACTTTGGAGAGCTTCACACTGTTTCATTCTTAATTACTGTCATCTCCATTTCTTTCCTGGTATCCTTTATATAACCTACAAAGGAAAAATGTAGCACTATTAGATGCTTCCAACCCTGTTCTTCTACCCCTCCCCCGACAACACAGAGATGCCCTGCAGGCTGTATCTGCAACTAATATGGACTACTTACAGTAGCTCCCAAGTCCCTAGTCGGTTCTTATGTAACTAGACTCCACCTCACCATACTACTTATGTAACACATATTAAGTAGCATCTATTATACAGGAGTCTTCTGTATTAGTCATATACCCAGTTACTTTCATTCCAGTAGTTCTCATACAACACATTTGTCAAATATTCAAGCTTTAGCCCCAACGAGGTTACTACTGTGGATGAAAAAAAGAAAAAAAATATTCCCAACTATCTGGGGACAAACTAAGAACAGAAAAAGTGCTACAGAAGATTTCTAAATGGAGCAAAGCACCACCCTTAAAGCATCAGCAATTTTAACTGTTAATTTGTTCGTTGGGTTAGATACAGAGGCTAAATTTACACCCTGCCATACAAGAACAAGACATGGAAACTAGCATTAAATTGCTTTGAAAACACAAGAATCCCACCCAAACAGTAACACAAGTTGCATTCCTTAAAGAAAAAAGTGTTAGAATTGGAAAACATACATTTTTCACTTCCCCCCCCCATCAGTACATTTAAATAAAAAAAGATCCAGAAAGAGTATTTGCCAAGCTTCCAAGCCTACCCAGACCTGTGTGACAAGTTCATTTCCCTACGAACCTCAGAAAGACATGGGGCATCTTCACAGTATTTGCATACCAGAGTTTTCATTTGCACCAAGTGTATGCTCAAATCCCCGTGTTAAAGATGCAGGCCATCCGCGGCCTAACTTTGTAATACATGCCACATTACCCCACAGAAAAGCTGCTCAACTCCTACAACAGGATCCAACAACATACAAATTAAAGAATAGTGATCCGTTTTTCCATAACGAAGTTCTGCTCAAATAAAATAAAGTCATTAATACCTTGCAGATTTTTCCTGAGGCCCCCCACCCTGTACCCCCGGCAAAGCAACACTGGAAATGAGACGACCTCCTCGTCAGATGGACAACTCCGCACAGCCTGTACATTTTCCTCAGCTCTTTTAATGAGGTCATTTAAGCATCGCTTAAACCAACTCTTTCAGTAAGTCACCCAGCAAGAACCACTCTATGATTCCAGGGAACCTAACTTACAGATACAAGTGCTCTCGTACACGAGAGGGGGAAGCCGAACGAGAGCGGGCGGCATTTACGTGAGTACACCCGGCCGCTGGAAGGCCCAGTGCAGCAGCCGCTCACCGCCTGCTCCCACACTCGGGCGGAGCGAGTAGGCGCCGAGGGGGAACTTTCCCTTGCGGTGGGTAAAGCCTTACGCAGAGAGGGGGCGGAATGGAAAGCTTCCCCCGAGAGCAGTTACACCCTGGCGATGGGTGGAGAGTAAGGAGAGAAGCGAGAACCTTCCTCGGCAGCAGCTACACCCTCGTGCATAAGGTTAATGGGGGAAGGGAAATGGGAACCAACGCGGCACCGACAGCATTGTGCGGGGCGGGGGAGGGAAGCACGGACTCTCCCGGGCAGCCGCCGCCGCCTCAGCCAGCTTGGTCTGCAGCCAAACCCCACAAGAATGCAACGCGGTCACATGACCTCCGGCGGACGTGCAACTCCCTTCCCTCTCCAGGGAGACCCTGCGCCATCTTGTACTGACGCAGTTACAAAAGCAGGCACGAACTGCTCCTCTCCTGCTCTTCCCCCGCTCCTCTCCTCACAGCCCCGGCACTGTTTGGGAACGAGAAGCCAAGGCCTGGTCCTGCTTTCCTTTTCACCAGCTCTTCGGGTATCCCCCGCCCGTGAAGTCCTCCCTCGCGCTGGGATCATGGCGCCCGTTTTCTCCCTTTGCACCAGCCTCCCCCGGCAGCTCCCCAACCCTGCCCAGCTGCGGCTGCCCCTGCTGCAGGATGATGTCAGCGCCAGCCAATCGGGGCGCGCCGGGCTAGCCCGGCCAGCCTGGTTATTGGCTCCCGCGCAACTCCCTCCCCCCTTCTGACTCAGTCTCCGCCGCGGTTCGCTGCGGAGCCGCAGCCAAGGCACAAGTGGGGGGAGGGGAATAGGAGGGGAAGGGAAGGAAAAAAAAAACCCTACACAAAAAACCGACAACCAAACCCACCAAGACGCCAGCCGCCATTTCGCGCAACAACAGGCAGAACCCGAGCGAGCAGCCCCAGCCAAGCGCCCTAAGGAAAGAGAGAAAGAGAGAAACAAGAGACACACGCACAGAAGAGTTAGACAGGAAAAAATACCCATAGACTCCGCCGTGATCACAAGACGTTTAATCGCCCCCCTCCTCCCTCAGGCTCAGTGCCCCATTACAGCCGCCTCCTCTGCGTCCAACCAGCTAGCAGATCCCTTCACCTCGGCTCCCTCCTGCCGCAGCAGCAGCTGTTTAGAGCCCCAAACTCTCTCTGCCCAAGGTGTGGGGGGACGCTAGTCTATGGCGCTGCTGCTAACTGCTTCTCCAGTCACCCGATTGTGGCGGCTCCATCGAGGCAGGGTAAGAGCTGCCAGCCCAGCTTTTATCTGGTGCCCCGAGTTTGCGCACTGAAGGAGGCTCGCTCAGCCCCTGGTGGGCGTCGAATGAAACCCCAGCCACCGCCTCCCCTCCCTCAATCAGCCGTATCGCTGGAGGGGCTGAAGCCGGGCAGGGGAGGTAGGGCGGTGTGCGGGCAGAACAGGAGCTGGGAGGGGATATGGTGGAAGGGAGAGGAGTTCCGTGCAAACGGCAGAAGCTGCGTCCTCCCTGAGAGGCTGGCGACCCTCTCGCTTTGCCAGCTCCCGGTGGTCCGGATAAAAGCAGACCATACCTGCTCCCCGAGTGCCGTTCCCTAAAGGGGAAACGAGGCTCGTTCACTGCTCGTCTCGTTCCCTGCAGAAAAGAAACGCCTTCAGCTAGTGCTGTCCCACTCGCTTTAAGAACCGAAGCTCTCTCCCACTTGCCTTATATATGAGCCTTAAAACGCTTCGGGGAAGACTCTCAGCCTCAACTGTCTTCTTGACAGGGGAGATTCAGTCAAAACCTCCACATCGCCCTGAACGGGTCTCGGTCAAAGCTCCCGCTCCTTCCCCTTTCTCGCCCCCCTCTTCCCCGCCCCTCAAGTAAGTTCCTCTGCGTGTGTGAGATCCGGCGGGTCTGCCCGGCTTTTCGCGTACTTTGTGGCGAAAATTTACTCCTCAGGTTGAGATTCATAAAGAATAGGTATGCTGAGAGTAACGACGTTCGTGAGGAGGAAGCCGGAGGCGGGGGGGAGAGCAGCTGAGGAGGGAGTTTTGGCGTTTCTGCCTCAGAGGATGCAGTTCTGAGTCAGACATCCTCCCGCCCGCGTTCGGTCCCACAACAGCCTGGGACGGAGCCCCTGCCCCTCCCCCGCGGTCTGCGCCTCCGGGGCTGCGGATCGCCCCCGGCACCAGCCCCAGCTGCCGCCGCCGCCCCTCCTCCGCTGCCCTACTTCCCTCCACACCCCCTCACAGCCCCCCTGCCCAGCCCCTGCCGCAGTCTGGTGTCTCGGCCGCGCCCAGACCCGAGCCGTTCAGCGTAACGTGCAAAGCGCTGTTGTAAAATGGACACTGAGGGCTCGGCGGGCGCAGACTGCACTCCCAGCCCATAAGCAAAATGGCGGCTGTTTGGCTTCGCCTTGGTAACCCTGCCCCTGCCAGGCGGGGCGGGTAAGCCCCGTGCAGTGGGAGGGAGGGGAGAGCGGACGCCATTTTCCCAGAGAGAGGCAGTGACATAGAAGGGAGCGTAGGAGGCTGAAAGGAGGGAGACACGGGAGCAGCGGCGGCAGCGGGGTTTGTACACAGGTCCCAAGGCAAAGGCGCTTCCGAGCTCGTCCCTGTAGGGTTCTGCGCACTGAGCTAGGTTTGGGGGGAGGGGGGGGTCTCCTCTTTCCTTTTTTTCTCTTTTCTTTCTTTTACCAGAGCCTGCTGAGGGTTCCTGCCTAGGGTAGGGATATCCGCAGTGGGGCTGTTGCATTGTTTTGGTTGGGATAGAGAAGGGGCTCAGCTGAGGGGTCCTGCTGCCTGGCCTGTGACCATTACAGGTGAGTCTTTGGTTATTACCAGGGTATTCTGCTGTGGGTGCTTTGGGGAGGGGGGGTGGCAAAAAGGGAGTGAAATGCGGTGGGAACGTCTCATTACCCTCGGTGCGAGTATAACTCCTTCCCCCCCTGAAACGTGTTTAAATTCTGTTTAAGTTGCCTTGAATTTGTTTTTGCTTTTGTGGGGTTTGGTTAAAAAATGGCAGGCTGTCGCTATATCTTGTGAATATGGCGGGTTACTGTAACTGGAGGAGCTGAGGAGAATTTTTTGGCAGTTACGCCAGATTTATGCATTATGCTTGGAAAAAGAGCCAGAAGGGGCTATTATGTGACAACATACACTTCCTTAGACTGGTGGTTTTTAGAACGGGTTTGTGTGTTACTGGGACTGCGTATTGAGTTTTATGAAGCTTGGGAAAACCTATTCTCTTCCTCCATCCTGTATATTTTTGCTTTGTGGTACTAAAATGGCTCGTTATAGGCCTAATCTCTCTGCCTTCCACACCCCCGCCTCTTTTCCTCCCTCCCTGCTAATATCTCCGCTTCGTGGTGTAACCTGGACAAACGGAAAGCAGTCCTCAAGAGTTTCTGTGCCAATTTAAAAGGGGATCATTCTCTCCACCCCCTTTCTTGAGGGTGTAAGTAGTTATATTGGTGCATACCTTTCTTGCTTTAGTTTCTGCAGCCAGTGTTGGTGTTCCTTGGATGGCATATTTCAATCTCTTTCTTAAATAAATATTGGTGGGGTAGACCCCATTGCTGCAGACATAGGGGAGGAGAAACAAGCGGTTCACTGTGTAGTACTAAACAGGGTAGAGAAACATAATATAGCCTGATTATAAAGGTCCTGTATTCCCCCATACTCAGCCATTAGGGAATGTGCAGTGGCTAAAAGCCCTGAGGTCCCTAAAATGGTACATACTACGTGTCGTTAAAAGCAGAAGTTTAGTGCTGCATCTAGATTTAGGAATGTTTTAGTCTGTTTATTTACAGTACCTTAAAGGAATAATAACGAAACGTTTTTGTTAACCAGGGCTCAGGTCAGAGAAAAGAAAGAGATATCCATGGCTGTACTTCCAATGCATGATTAATTGATTATAATCACTATACTTTCAAAGTTACTTTTCAAAAAATGTGGAGCAAATTTTTTAATTTCCCTCTTTTGTCCTTTAGAGATTCTAAAAATGGCGGCCTCAGGCTGATGTTGTGGTAATCTAATCAGCTCGGGTCCTCCACACCCCATGCAGTGCATTTGTCTGCAGCATATTAGAGTCTTACTATGTTTAAATGAAAAGACTGTTCCCTTCAAATAACGTACAAAACATCTCTTGACTTTACTGCGATTTAAAAATGCTGTGTTCCAGCTGATTAATTTTATTGGTTATGTGTGTGAAAGGCAAGTGAACGAGACCACTCTTGTCGGGGAAAAGGGGGGTGGAAAGAGGCAACAGACTCAAGCAGCTTTTTTGAGGGGTGTGTATAGGTTACTATAAGGTAATATGTCTGTCGGTTTAATAATTTGGAAAAGCTCCTGCGTTTGTGATGGATACTGTACATCTGTCCATCCTATTAACGACATAAAAGCAGTGATACTTACCAAAATAAGTAGTGGATTAAGATCACTAAAACAGTCAGCTAAATTCTTTGTGGAATCGCGTTTGTGAACGTCATGTTCACCTTCCAGGAAATACCTTTGCTGGACATTAGGGTAGTAATTCCATGTATTCATAGTTTGAGAATACTAAAAGAACTTAATACTTACGGAAATAATGCATGTGAGATTATAACCTGTTACTTTATTAAGATGTGGAATTTCTTCTGCTACCATGTAATCTTGGTATTACATTTTTTTCTTCAATCTATTTTGTATATCGCTGTATAGATTTTATATGTGGTAATACACATACAAATACTGAGGCAAAGTGCAGTTCCTAACCTCTAATTTTCTTCCTAAATGAAATATGAACCTTTTAGTATCACCACTATAAATATGTTTGGGTGGGGGGAAGGGAGGTCACAAGGATTTATTATTTGATAGTTGGTGTAGTATACTCTGATACAAACTATGGAGGCTGCGAACTGTACGTTTTAAGCAACAAAAAAAGAAATTTTTCACTTTTTTTTTTTTGTATGCCTGTCTTTAATCTTGTCCTTGGTTTAATGAGGTATGAATTCCTATTCTAGTATAGCTTTGGAACCTTCTGGATTTAAACAATCAAAAGTGAGGTATTGAAATGGCAAAACTGTCTTCAGTCTCTGAAAAATTTTAATTTAGATGCCGTTTAGAAGCACTGATGTGTGGTTTAAGGTATATCTGAAGTTGAACAATAAGATAGTAAGACTTTTAGAGTGTTGTTAATGCATGTCTTTCCTGTGTTTTGAGGCCAAAGGCTGAGTGATTTCAACCACCAAGTGATGTGTTAATAGTCCAGTAATGCATACTCCCGTCATACCTTCCTTATTTATATAGATTTTATTTTTTTTAATAAAACATGCCTTACTCTCTTTATTTAAAAGTACATGAATGAGATTCTAAAGAGTGTATGTATGGGCCTTTTTGAAAACTTTCTTCTTTCCTCTTCCTAGGATTAAAGCTACTGTTCTTGTGAATAATTTTTTTAGCATTATGACTTAGAGGGCTACTTCATGGCCTCAGTCATGTTCTCCAGCAGACATCTGATTCAAGATTAAAATGAAAAGAAAATAATTTTGTACACTTTAAAAAAAGTGTTCAAGGGGGGAGATGAAATAAACCCAAAGACTGGAATAATCATACTAAAATTTTACAGCTTATCTTATAGGCTGCAAATTTTATGCACTAAGAACCTCTTGGGAATTTTCAGATCTTCCAGAGTTTCCCTGTATGAGTTTTAGTGAGTCAGTTTGCCTTTGTGACTCAGTTTCTCCATTTGTAAAAAGAGATCTGTGTTTTGTTTTAAGAAGACAATATTACAAAGGAAATTCTACCTTTATTTTTTAACTCCATTGATGTTGATATGTTGAAGTATATTCATAAAAAATTAAATATACCCCACCCCCAACCCAACTAATAAAAACCTCTTGAAAGAGGGAGGGTTTGAAATCTAAACTTCTGTTTTTTCAGGAGACAGTTCTGATTTACAAACATGGTGTTAAAAATGCATTAATACGGACTGTAGTTCTAAAACCGTTTATGTATCTTAAAGCTTTTCCTATCTGAAGGAAGAATCTGCTTAACTGTCACTTAGCCTTTTGGGTGAGCTTTTTTGCCATCTGGGAAATTCCAGAGGGGAAATAATATTGGTTTTTTACGCTGCATCTAGGAAAAGTTTTTCTTAGCACTAAAATTCAGATTACTTTTAGGAGTTGCATTACCTCATATCTTTGGTACAGTTTCAGCACACACAACTGTTAATATTCTGTTGGAAAGCAACAGAAATACAGAAATCAGTGTCACACTGAAGGCTGTAGTGTCTCACTAGTCCTGATCTCAGTTTGATTTAAGGACAGTCTTAATTTTGCTTCCATGTTAATACTAATTTTAGTAAGGACTATTTGTGGGACTGAGTTAAGGAGTGGTGTATGTAATTGTAGAATCGTGGCATTGTTTTAAATAGATTAATGTAAATGAAGCTTTAATGAAAGTATTTTGCTGTGTTCATGTAACATTCTAACAAAATTGGGGTTATGGGGGTGGCATAGATTGAAGATATAAAATAAAACTCAATTCAGACTTTTGGAGAGATCCTGAAGAAGTCCGTCTATGTTACTGGCCTTGTGACTTCCATACAAATGAGCATTTGTGAATCTCTCAAAAGCAAATTTTGTTGGACAGTGTTTTTGGAACAGGTACAGTGTTTGAATGTTTCCACTGTGCAAATACTAGTTTTGATTTATTGCTAAGAATGAAACTTAAGGCATCTCTGAATAAAAAAAAGTTTCGGCTTAGTAGAATGTTAAGGGGAAAAAAACCTTTTTATTCTTCTAAATTCTGGATTATTTAAAATATTAGTTGTAGTGGGCTTTCAAATGGTGCAAGATGAGTATTTCTAACTACATCAATGTTCACATTTTCTTACTAACCAAGAATTGTACCCACAAAAGTTAACCTAATCCCTTTGGGGATCCAAAGTTCTGCTCGTGACCTTCAAAACTATAGCAGGTTTTTTTGTTTTGTTTTGTTTGTAGTATGTTCAAAGACAAAAAACTGTTGTTTGTTATGCCTTGTTACTTTTAAGTTATTTAAAAGAAACCTTGTCAAGGTTTCATATACTTACTTGCTAGGAGATTGTTTTTGTTCCCTCTTACAAATCTTAATGTGGTATTAATGAAACAGGCAAGATTTTAAGCTCTGCTGGTTATTAGAAAAATTTAATAATTAAATCTGTGAAATTCTGAAGACAGTTTTGTTGTACAAAGTATTTTTTTTTTAACATGCCTGGCTTAAGTGCTTTCTTACCTTTATTTTTCTAAATTAAAATATTTGGCAAGAGCTATGGTAAATCACAGTGTCCACTCATGTGCTTCAAAAGTACAAATGAAGAATATATTGAAGTAGCACAGACATTGCATCCTGTGCAGGTAA